CCCTCCTGTAGCCACGGTCTCCCATGGCCCAGCCTCTCTTCCTGAGCAAGTCACAGGGACAGGGCCATTTCAGAATGCCATGTGTCAGAGAACATCCAGTAAGAAGACTCAGTGTTTACCTGTGGCCTTCTGTCCCAGAACCCAGGGACTTAGGAGAAGAGGGACACCCTGCTCTGTGCTTCTAAGGTATATTTGAAGTAGGGCAGAAGTGTCCTAAGAGGGTGAAATTTTAAACCCTGTTCTACCACTAGACAATAACGCTATATGAAAAGTCTTATTAAAAGAACAAGAATGAAAAAAATGTAAAAACCAAATTGATACAGAAGCATAGTATCTATCAATTTCTATTTTACATTTTTTATTATTTTTTGCCCAAACAGCAATTTTGGCATGACATGAAGCCAAATGTACACATTTTCCATATGCCTGAGATTTCTGAGTTAGCATGACTAGTGTCTTTTGAGGTATGAGGTGATTAAGAATGTGACAAATGGGACTGGACACTAAATTCTGTCTAGACCACCTGGACCCCGAGGGGACACTAAGGCAGAGGCGAGTAGAGCTCTTGGTGTGGTACATAGAGGAGCCCTGAGGACTGGTGAGCTGGGGCGGTGTCCCCCGGGGCCAGAGCGCTCCCGGGTGCCTCTGGACTCCGTGCTCTGGAAGCAGGAGGATCTGCCTGTCTGTCCTTTCCCTGGGCCTCACAGCCTAATAACATAAGGCCCCATGGAAGGATCAATCCTGCTGGAGGTGAGAAGGGGAAAATAGAGGCTGTTTCCACATAAAGCCAGAGGTCAGGCTGAACCAGCCACTCCACCTGTATATCCATCCACCATCCATCCTCTCCATCCGCCCACTCATTCATCCACCCACCCATCCACCCACCTGTGCATCCACTTCATCCATCATCCATCCATCCCCTGCATCCCGTGTGGTTTCTGACTTCTTCCACCCAAGCAAGATGAGCAAAATGGTCTTCATTACTATACCAGCTCTATGGCAGAAGACTCTAAAGGCAAGTCCCAACAGACAGAAAAATAAGAAACGATTAACCAAAGGAACCAGAAACTCCCAAGAAATTGAATCAAAAGAATTATCCCATTTGATCCTTACCCGCAAAGAGTCATCTCACAACAATTGGGCCCCCAAGAGAATCCAAATTTCCCCTTGACCATCATTTCTACTCCTTCCCAGTCGGGCTGGGAACTCCTTTGGAGGTTAATGTTTCCTTTGGACCAAAACAGGAAGCCCATCATCTGAAGAGGCCCTGGTTCGAGTGGCACTTTGAAAGTGGTTCAGTGTGTTTCAGATGCAATCCTCCAGACACCAACAAAGACCCTTGCTTATTGTTGTGAGCCTGATAGTAACTACTTGTCTGATGCTGTCGTCTTTGATGGACTGAATGTCTGTGTCCCCTTAACATTCAAACACTGCAACCCTGTCTGGCTCTCAGCCCCAGAGATTGTAATGGGAGGCAGGAGCTTTGGGAGGGGATCAGGATTATTCTGAGAGGGAGCCCTTGTGATGGGATTAGTGCCATTTTGAGAGACCCCAGAGTGTTCTGCTTCCACCAGATGAGAATGAGGAAGGGAGTCTCCTCCAGATAGAGAATCTGCAGACTCCTTCACCTTGACCTTGACTTTCTCAGTTTCCAGAACTATTAGAAATAGATGTCAACTGTTTAAGCCACCAATCCTTTATTCTTTGTTATAGCAGCCCAAACAGACAGAGTCTGACTAACTAAGTTATATTTTAAGCAAATTTGTGTCCTCCACAGTCAGACTAAATCATTATATGAGAGAACACAGCTTGAAGTAAGCATGTTCTGCTCACTGGGAGAAGTTATTTCTTCCTTTTATTCTTTTCCCATGAGGTGCTTTTCAGCATGGTGGTTTAAAATAACAGAAATTTGCCTGTAGAGTTCTCAGGAACAGAGTGTTACACGGTTGTCTTTAGGGAGGTCCTTGGTGCTCTTGGGGTATGGAGTGTCACGGTGATGTCCACCCATTTCCTGGGACTTCCCAACTTTATCTCTGCTTCTCAAAATTTCCTTTCTCTTGTAAGGACCTGCCATTGATTTAGGGTCCAGACTAAATCCAGGGTGATCTTAGCATTCTGATATCTTTAGTTACATCTGCAAAGACTAATTTTTCAAATAAGTCACATTCACAGACTCTGTGTTTTAGGACATGAATATATCCTCTTGGGCCACTATTCAATACACACACACACACACACACACACACATACATTACATATTACATGTGCATCATTTATATGTATAATTACATGCATATATACATGATTTTCCTTCACATTCCAAGATCAGGCCTACTTCTTAGCTGCATCTCACATGTGTTTATGTAGATACATTTTGTATTTCCAAAAAGCAGTGAAACCAGGAGGAACAGGGTTCTCATTTCTGCTCCCAGTATCACAATATGTTAGCTGAAGACCCTGGATCTTAATGTAACTTTCTATGCCTTAAAATGTCCTGAGAAGTGAGGCCTCTAGGTTTTGCTATGTCCCTTGTCACAGAGAATCCTTAGTGGAAGCCATGGGGATGGGTTAGGTTGCAACCCTCCCTGTACTGGGATACAAGTGTGTTTGAACAGTCTCTGAGCTGAGGCCTGAGCCTGGGACAGACCCAACCAAATTCAATGACTGAGTTCTTCCCAGTGATCTCTGTGGCTCTTTCCAGTTAGTTTATTTAATAAATAATGACGTGAAGTTGAGAAGTCAGAGCCTTGCTTTATTTCCGATGCTTCAAGCTATTATTTATCAAATGCGGCTTCTATTCCCAACATTGAACAGGAGACATCTGATCCTTGGAGGCTGTGAAATCCAGGGCTCCGTACAAGTGACACAGGACTCAAGAGCCCTCACAGGTGTGAGCGAAGGCCCTAGAGACCCTCAGCCACAGAGAGGAAGAGAAGGGAAGTTGGAGCTATTCTGGACATTCATGTTTTATGGAAAAACAACACCATGGATTGCAGAAGCCAGAATAAAGCAAGAAGAAAACCGTGGAACAATGAGAATAAGATCACACAAACCAGCAGTGTGTGTGTGTGTGTGTGTGTGTGTGTGTAGAACTTGATGAAAGTATGAAGAACTTTCAATAGCAAATAGCAAATTTCCTGCTATTGAAAAAAGGCAAATTTTGGATGTTGTTTTAGGATCAACTTAATGTGATGTTTCAGTGACAAGGAAAAGTAATCGACCATGTTTAAGTAAAATCAGATTAGAAAAATCCATTGAATCTAATGTTCACTTCTCGTCTATAGGCTGCAAGCCGCTGTCTGCTAAATCCATCTTGCAGTGTTGCCCACAGAGATGAAAACAGAAGACGGCTCCAAAGGCCTTGGAGCAATTAAAGACTTAGCAAGTGTAGGCAGAGAAGCAAAGAGATTTCCTGGAGGGAAGCTCATTTAAGCTGCTTAGAATCCTGTCCCTGGATTTCACCTTTGATATTATTTATTAGACAATAAATTCTTATAAAAGTGCTCTGAGATAGGTTAAAAAGTTGGACTTTCAGACTTGCCACATCCTGACCCTGACCTGGCTGCACACAATTCCTCCACTGGAAAGCTGAGCAAACACAACTTATCTGAATTCCATCTGGCAAACAGTGTGTGTGTACATCTACCTTAATACGGCTGTCGTTTGCCCCAGCTTCAGTAAAACTAGCTTGCTTCCAGGGACACCTGGTGTGTGCTGTGGTGAGGAAACAGCTCTTTAAGACACACACCTCAGGGCAGGTGAGGCAGAGCCCGGAGCAAGCTGTGCGTCCCGGTCGACCTGCAGCTGTCCTGCTCCCTCGGACACGCCTTCAGGGTCAGTGTCAGTGTCCGGGGTCCATCCTCTTGAGTTTTCCACTTTTGGCCTTATGACACAGGGACCAGGCCACAACCTGCCAGCTCTAAGGCTCCGGGAGAGTGTGAGCGAGCACACCCTGCCTCCTCCACCCCTGGAGCTAGAGGGGAGGCCCTGCTGCTGGTGCAACTCCCGTGCTTCTGCCAAAGGAAAGGGTGCAACTCTCCTGGGGTGAAGGGAGCAGCCTTCTGTTAAGGAGACCTAACATCACTCCAGCTGTCACCTACCTGCACCAAGTCTGTCTCCCGACCCCTTCCAAGGTCGTCCACTGAGGCCCAGTTGCACAGGGGGATTGCTTATTGTCGTGACCCTGAGAGTAACTACTTTCTGATGTTGTGGTCTTTGATGGACTGAATGTCTGTGTCCGCTTAACATTCAAACACTGCAACCCTGCCTGGCCCTCAGCCCCAGTGATTGTAGTGGGAAGCAGGAGCTTTAAAACACTTTAAAATTTAGGTCTGGGAAGCAGAAATGGGGTGTGTGGACTTACCCTTCTCCACCAAGAGGAGGAGAGTGAATCAAGGCCGTTAGATTCCAGGACTGATGCCCATTCAATACCGAAATACTGTATTCAGATTTTAAAGGAAAAGTGTGCTCTCGATCCAGAGATTGTCCTGAGTGTTGACCAGGTAACTCCTCCAGTAAGCAGTTTAAGATAAAACTGAACCCAGCTGGCACACCCGTGTGGTAAATGAGCTCAAGTGCCTTTTACATAAATGATGCTGAAGAGTTTTGAAAATTGTTACTTCCTGGAATTGCTCCTCCGTACATTTTCCCAAGAAGTATCTGTAATTCGGGAGTATTTTAGGCTAGAGTTTTGGGCTAAGCACAGTATTTCAATTATGTTGAGGAACTTTACTGGGAATCTCTGGCAAACACTTTTACAAACCTTTACAGTGCAGGTGGCAGCAGAAGAGACCTCATCACATGGTTCAGTTGCGTTTTATTGATTTTTGTGGAGGATCCTGGCGACAAACTTCAAAGTTTTCACTTGGCAAACCACAAGTCAATCAAAGCAGGAAGCATCAGAGGGCCCCACATGGCGGAAAGCCACCCACCACGGACTACAGAGACCCAGAGGAGCCCTGAAAGCCCCCGGCACAGACCATGCGAGCACACGACAAGCGTTCCACAGAAAGACATTTATTGGGTTTCAAGGCTTGCTTTCCAAATCGTTTTTCCAATTGGGGCCGTGCCTCTAGATGGTTTGACTCATGCACTCACCATTCTTCTGGAACCAAACTAAGATCAATGCTAAACATTTTATTTTATTTTATGGCACATGCATTTTGATTTCCTTCCTTCTGAGGATTACAGGATAGGATAACTCTAGAAAGAGGACCCTCGGCAGTCTCACTGTGAATCGCGCCGACGGCCTGAAAGTGGACATGATATTCAGTTAGCATCCTACCATTGATAGGGTGTCAACAACGTTCATGACATAGAATCACATTCATGGAGAAGGCAGGCGGGAGGGAGACCCAGCCCATCGGCTTAGGGCAGTTTCTATCTCAGCTCCATTAATGTCATGACCAGCGATGGCCCAAGACCTCGAGGTACAGAATGCCTATGTGTCGACAAGTGGCATAGTTCAACTCTGCGAGAGAAACAGGGTGAGTCGGCAGCGGGAAACCACACCGATCTCCGTACGGCCCCCGGGCCCAGGAGGATGGCCTGCCCCAGACCCTTCCAGCCCTTGCTGCTTGTCTAGCTCCGCTACAACCTCGGGATGGAATCCAGCTTCTATCTGCACTGACGCTCTCTTCAAGTGCTCTGTTTTGATGACAATTATCTGGCCGGCACAGTTTGCTCCCGTTTCTTCTGGTACCCAGCTAAGATCACTTATTGCCTTCCCGAATGTCAACACTCACTGTTGTTTGGCCTTTCCAGTTCACTGGCCATGTTCTCCGGGCCAGCTGGGCCCTGGGGATGAGAGACGCCAACACGTGTGAACTGGAGGCTGCAAAAACTGGAAAAATAAGGCCAACAACTGAGAAGCAGAGCCATGGACCATTTTAATGTCTTTGACTTGGCGGGGGTCATGCAGGCTGAGCTCAGAGCGCCCCCCTGCAGCTCCCAGGGCCGTTGCGGTCAGGTCCCTGCCTGTGCACCTCCTGGCTTTCGGTTCAGAAAGGGTCACCTCAGTGTTCCCCGGACAGTCTGGAATGCCTGTGGCCGTGCTGACCCGAAGGTGGGAGGAAGGTGTGTGCTGGAGTGTGGGCCACAGGAACGGCCTAATGACCTCAGGAGGTGCATCATGAAGGACTGGCCACAGCAAGTTGGTGACCTCGCCCCTCGCCCCTCTCTGGGATTGTTCCCTTCACTATAGAGTGCATGAAGTGTGGCCAAGGGGCCTCCCAGATGCAGTGACTCTACCTTCCCTGTGGCCAAGACACGGTCTTCTTTCCCCAGGAAGAAGGTTCCATTCAAACCTGCTGTTCAGGGGTCTTGATAAAATGATGACATGCAGGCCCTGCACAGAGAGCCAGTGACCGCCATCTCTGCCCTTCAGGGCTCTCTAGGGAAACCCCAGCCGGTCCCATTTCTGCAGCCGCCCTCTCCTTCCCTTTGCCCAGCTGTGGCTCACCCCGACTCTTCCACCACATCTTCCTGCTGAGGAGTCAGGAAGTCTCGGCCTGCGGTTTCTGCAGGGCAGCTGTGCACGTGTCTCCCTGGCTGCCGTTTCCTGTGTGTCCTGAGATGTGCCTTAACCCCTCTGATGGCCCATCTCTAGGAGGGAAGCGGACTGGGTGGAGAGCCAGTGGCTGAGTGAGAATGTAGAGGTCTGGGGATGAAAAGCAAGAATGTAATTACATGATAATTGCATTTTAACCTCTATAATTATTCATTCTGAGCCAGGTCTCCAAGTGTGTTCTAATTAAAGCCTGTTATTGTGATATAAATTTCCCGGTACCGTGAAAATAGGGTGTTCAACTCATACAGCAGTCTTTGGTTTCACGAGCACTTCGCCCCCATCATTTGAGTGGGTCTCGTGGAGTTTATAGCGGAGGAAGCCAGGTGCAGGTGGGTGATGTGACCTGCCAGAACCTCGGGGCCGACTTGGGCTTCAGCCTCTCAATCCCAGGTGTTTTCCCCTGGTCTGTAGGTTGATCTCTCAAAAAATAAAGTTGAATTTTGATAGATGGGATGAACTTGGGAGCTGAAACTGAGGCCTGAAGCCTGGTGTATGTGAGTAATGGATGAGGGAGACTGTGTCCCTCCTGCAGCACTGGGTCATGTGAGGGAAGGGTAACAGGCCCTCTGGTAAGTTCCTCAGAGCCTCCCCTCGGCCTTGGATGGCCTTGGAGAACACGCCCAGGAACCAGGCTGGGGGGGGGGCTGTGGGAGGGGCAGAGGTTTGGGAGCTGGGGAAGCATCGGAGTTGGTATTTTTCTCTTCCTTTGGATCTGCAGCCTCTGGCTTGATTTGCGTTCCAGTTGATTAATGGAGAATGTGAGATGTGAACGTCTCCTTCCAGTGATCACCTTGCCGCCTGTCTGAAGAGGGACCCCATTTTTTGGCTTTGTGGGAACATAACCCCAGGACACAGGGCATGAGTCTCCTCTCCCACTGGGTCCACAGGTGGGCATCTCCTGCAGAGGGGAAGAGTGAGGCTCCTGGCCAAGGTGTGAATAGCCAAGATACGATAGGACCAGAGTGCAGTGGACACAGGGTCCCCTAGTGTCCATGATGCAGGATGCCAGATAGGGACTCACAGCAACAGGCATGTTTTACGTTGTCACTGCTTTGAAATTTTGGAATTCTTTCTATTTAAATGAAAAATTGCTTTTCTTTCACCGAAGAATTGATTTCTTCTGTAGGTTTCCAGCAAACATAATGGAAAGGCTGAGCAAAGTAACCCAAATTCCAGGTGCACTGAACGGCTGAGATTGAGCTGCACGTCTCCCTGCCTCGCTGTGGGCAGTAATGGAGCCCACGGGGGTGGTGGCACGTCCCCTGGCAGCACCTTTCTGTCCTGCTTACCTGGACACAATGGCGGACACATTTTCCAATCAGCTGATAAAAAATAAATTGATCCAGCCTTGGATAAATATTTTTTTCCAAAAAAAAAAAAAAAAAAGGAAGTTGCTTTCAATTTCACATTACCTGGAAATTGCTAAACTCAAGTGCTTTCCTGAGCTGAGAAGAGGTCTCTGCCCTAGGTCTTCAATGCCCATGGAGTAATTCCATCCCAACCAGCAGTCCCAGGGGCCAAAGACCATCAGCCCCTCACTGGTTCCAGCTTGGAGAATTCCACGTTGGGGATCAGAGAGGTCAGGCTGCAAGGCACTGTCATCGAGTTTCCTGACCACGGCCGCTCTCAGGGAACGTGAGCTGGAGGTCAGGCCTTCTCAAGTGGGTCATTGTAGCCTGGCAGCTGCATTTGTGTATTCGGGGCAAATAAGGAAGGGTAAGGAAATAACAACAATAAAGGACAGATTTGGTTGATCCCCGGTCACTCTGCGGTTTGAGGCGAAGCCTCTCTGGTCTCCAAAACCCTTGAACAAAGAGAACAGCGACCCGAGAGTCAAAACTGCCTGAAGAGTCGTTCCCAACCGTCCAGAAGTGGGCTCTTCCTTCCCTGCGGGAGGTTTGGGTCTGACCCAGACGTCCCTGGTGCTTTCACTTTAGATTCTCCTCATCTCCCTGGCTGCCCCTTGGGACTGTTTCCACCTGTTAGATTTTTGCAAAGACTGTGGGTTCCTAAGACTGCATTTCCTGGCTGTGAGCTGTGGCTCCTGAAGTACAAGTTTTGGTGTTTGCAGTCTTTGGAATATTCACATTTGACAAAGCAGATGAAATATTTTAAATGGAAGCCTAGCTCACAATGATTGGATTCTTGAGTCAGTGTGTCAGGTATGCATGATTTTATTTAAAATGTGTCCAATCAGATTTTCCACTTGGAATGAACATTTTTTTACCTCTTTCCGCAAGTTATTATAAACAGTATTTCCTCATTTCATGGAGTTTCTTAGAAAGTTCTAAGTAACTTAACAGAAGAGAAAAATGGAACGACGGGAGATTAAATAACAGGAGGTTTACACCACACGAGGTGCCCGCGTCTCAACCGTGGGGGACACACATGTGACTACTTGGGGAGGAAACAGACCCGGCCATGCAAGTCAGGTGCGATCCCGTGGTCTCCCCGTCACTAGCACACAGTCCACCGAGTCAGATGACTGCATGAGTGGGAGACTGTCTTTGCTCTGGTGGCAGGAGCACGAACATGCTGCTGCCGCGGGTGGGAGTGTCTCCTCGTCTCTGCCAACACCGCTGTCTCTGTCACTGCTCTGAGCCCCAGGGGGTGCACCTGGAGTGCGTTTGCAGCGTCCCTGTCTCTCATGGAATGGCACTGGTTTATCTGGAACAGCAGCACACCACACAATCAGCATAGAGAGCACAAGTAACCAAGTGGGCGGTTTTAATCACTAGAACCTGGCAATGTTAAATTGTTTTCATGAGCCGAAGGTCAGAGCATGGATGAGGTCTAAATGATGTCACAGCAGACCAGAGGCCACAGAAAGAAAGACATGTCTTCAGGTTGTGTTGACCTGCCAGGAAGAGAGACACAGACACAGGGCACAGCAAACAGGGGCCGGCCGGCCGCAGTGCGAGGTGCTCCTAGGAAACAGGAATGCGCCGTTTACATGGGGCTGGAGCTGGCGAGCACTGAGGCTCCCACCTGCCTGCTGGAGCTGCTGGCATGGGAAGAAGCTAAGGGCCAGGTGCCGGGAGGGCGGGGATGGGCGGGCTGGGGAACGTCACCATCTCAACATGGGTTCTAAAGCGCTTAGAGATGATCATTCATTTATCATGGAAACCTAACCCCTTCTCTCTGTGAATACACTTGTTCATAAATAACTTCAACGTCTCCTTGGCATTCAGGGTGCAGTTCTGGCTGGAGTAGAAAAGGGTGGAGGGTGTGCAGCGTGGGGAGGAGAGGTCAGGGAGTCGGTGCGAGTGGACACGGGCAGGCGGTCAGCCGTCAGACACGGGTGGGGTGACCCAGCCGTATTTTTCGTGAGTCTTCACCAAGCTCTTAAAGGTGGCTTCGGCCTCCTTGCGACTGAAGGACTTTTTTGACTTGCCGGCTTTTCTGCAGATCCGTCCCTGCATGAGATGAGAAGAGAGAGCAGGTTAGAACTTCAGCTGTCCTTCTGTCTCCCATCAGCTCTGCCTAAAACGCGGGAGGTCGTGGGACTTTCTGAATCAAGGTGACCTCGTGGCCATCAGCACGGGTGGGGCCTCTCGGCCGGGCAGACACAGAGCCAGGGCTGGCAAACCTGTCTTCCCAGCCCACAGCCTTGGCCTCCCTGAGTGTGCTCGCTCCAGGAGGCAGGAAGCCGGCCTCTGCCCTCATCCCCAAGGTGGCTGGCAGGACCAGCCGTGTGGGGCGAGCGTCCACTGGGAACCCAACAGTCCCCCTCTAAGGCGAATGGGCGGAAGGCTGAGAATTCTGACTTCCGATTCCTCTTTGATAGCGGTGGGGGTAGTCAACTTGTGTACAGGTGTATTTGCATATTCACAGAAGTATTTGAAAGCTCTGGCTTTTAAAATCAAGCAGTGAGTTCCTGTCACTCATGCTGTGTGTATTACACAGCTGGGAGGTGGGTGAGGGGCAGGGGACAGGTCACCTCCCTGGCAGTGGCCACTGAGTGCTGGTCTGAGGACTGAGAAGCTGGCTCTGCCTCGGGTGAGGGTCTGGACCCTCCTAAGGTGGCACAAGAAGGCTCTAGACTGTAAGAGAGGGAGCTGGGACAGAGTCTTGGAGAGTCCCCAGGGCACAGAGCACAGCAAAGGCAAGAGCACACAAGACAACCAGCACCCAGTGCAGTGCCTAGACGGACCTGCTGGGGCCCCTCGTATTCCAGCCT